AGCTGTGTACCCGTTCTACGCACGGGGATCTTATAATATTCAGTTGAAACCTTCTTATATAACGAACAGCAGTTGGTTTGCATATTTTAAGATATGCTGGCCAAACTATTATACATAGCTTCATTTTATGTTGTTTTTTGTTGTTCCGGATCGGTATGACAATCAATAAAAGGTTAAATTACCTCTGTGTCTGCCGGTCGATCCTATAACGGTAGGCTTACTTTTATTTTTACTATCTGATCTCGTTTGCATGGCTCAATCACGTCCTGGTTGAAGTTCGTTCGCTACGCTCACTCACCTGTATGTTGGAGCTCGTTCGCTGCGCTCACTTTCCTTCAGGTTAGCTCGTTCGCTACGCTCACTTGCCTTCAGGTTAGCTCGTTCGCTACGCTCACTCGCCTCCAGGTTGCAAATTAGCTGTTGTCATAAATGTAAAAGAAATAATAGTGCTAGTGCTGCACCCTGTTGGTAATCCTTGTAACTTTAATGCTATTGAACATCACAGAACAGAACCAACTTGTTTAATTGAAACAGCTGTTAAGATTCAATAATTTCATTTCTCATAAGGTTAACATGGGCTTCCAGAAATTCCACGTCAAAAATCGACAAAAACTTGATTTTCAAGGGTTTACTGTTAAATATCTAACTGTCTCATATTCGATGAAATACGTCTAAAACCATCTCATATATGTATAGTATTTGGAAAATAAGTTTCAGGCGGGACAGTGCTATAGTTATTGAGGAGTAGTTGTAATAAAGTGCGTATTTTAGCGTTACCAAGAGAATGACAGATAGACAGACAGACAGACAGACAGACAGACAGACAGAAATTGAGATAAGGTTTGATTCGGTTTCTCTGACCTATGAAATGTAAAAATAACCAAAAAGTTCATTATTCTAAGCAATGTACAGACAAAACTCTAATTTTATTTATATAGATTTTGTTAAGTAAGATAGCATGAGGTCACAACATGAAAGATGGATCATTGTTGAATACCAATACCAACATCAATCTTTATTTTAAGGAACAGCGACGTTTATTTTTAACCCTTTGCGGTCGAATGGCGAGTATTGGTCGCCACCCGCCATTTTGCCGACTGCTCAAAAATGGCAACCTACAAGGACAAAAAAAAAAAAAAAAATCAAAAATAAAAAAAGTTAATTTTTTTGGTCAAATGGCGAGTATAGGTCACTGGGCGCCATTTTTCTGACTGCTTGAATGGCAAGCTAAATTCTCCAAAAAATGTGGAAAAAATTCGACCTCAAAGGGTTAATGCGATGGAGTTTAGATGCTTTACCAGAGAAAATTAAGAATACAGGGGCTTCAGATTCTTTAAAACCTCTCATTACCCTATACATATGGTACTGGGACTAAGACCGTTTAAATAGTTGTATAAAAAGTAGTTTATACAGGGTGTTCATTTGAAAACTTTCCATATCTGTTGTGTGCAAAGGTAAGGCTTTTAACACTTGTTTGTTCTCATTTCCCCCTAATTTGGACATGCCAAATCCAATAAAATTATTTTCAATTTCGAAAAATGCCCCAAAAGGGCCCAATTTGGGGGGTAGGGGTGCTTTTTGAGAAATTTTCAAATGTAAACATGGGTTGTGTGATACATCAATTTAAAGGTCTAATCACCCCGACTATTTTGGTGCAATAAAAATGTAATTATCTTTAACCGTATTTACAGGGTGGGTCAAAACGTTTTAAAAAAGGACTTTGAAGTTAAGTACCGTATTACCCGAACTACTGAACGGAACAGCGCCAAATTTCTTTCCAAGCTTATTCTTGATCTACTCTTTAAAATAACTTGTAATAAGGGCATTTTCCATGTTATTTTCTAATTTTAAAAAAATCTAAAAATTTAAGAATAAAAGAAAGCTGAAAACTCAAAATTCTTAAATAGCAAGGTATAACAAATTTCATACCACGTGAAAGGTCCTTTTTTAACAAACATTTTACGTATTCAAGTTTTCTTTTTATCTCTTACCGTTTAAAAATTTCAGTAGAAAAACTGAATTTTGTATGGTAAAATTATAACTAGTTTTCTAACAAAACACATTGCACTTTGCTCAACGATGTATTATGATTAATTACAAATTGATCAACTACTTTTACTTGTGTCAGTTCATCTTGGACCCTTCACCCTGTTCTTTTCCCAATGGTAACTGAGCCAGTTTCAGAAATTTCTTAACTAAATCATTTACAGCTTTATGACTTAACGTCTAACCTGGATATTTATTGTTAAACACTTTGCAGTTATCCTGAAACACTTTTGTTCTGCCCAATAAGTAAAAATAAAGTCTATTTTTTTAAGTGTACACCATATTCGATTAGATACTACAGAAAATAGTACTTTTTGAAATTAGTACTACCATTGACTAGTCAATGGTTCTACAGAAAGCGGCCCACATGTAGGTTGTCCTTATCAGCTATAAGACTTGTTTTTCACAAAGTAAAACGTAATGACTTGTCTGTCAATCAGGGTATCAATAATTATGAATTGTTTCCTTCAGTTAATGCACCATTAAATGTGTCTAGAGACGAATTTTGGCTGTTTTATTAGAAAACTAGTTACAATATTACTATGGAAAATTCAGTTTTTCTACTGAAATTTTTAAACGGTAAGAGATAGAAAGAAAACTTAACTACGTAAAATGTTTGTTAAAAAAGGACCTTTCACGTGGTATGAAATTTGTTATACCTTGCTATTTAAGAATTTTGAGTTTCAGCTTTCTTTTATTCTTAAAATTTGAGATTTTTTAAAAATTAGAAAATAGCATGGAAAATGCCCTTATTACAAGTTATCTTAAAGAGTAGATCAAGAATAAGCTTGGAAAGAAATTTGGCGCTGTTCCGTTCAGTAGTTCGGGTAACACGGTACTTAACTTCAAAGTCCTTTTTTTAAACGTTTTGACCCACCCTGTAAAAACGGTTAAAGATAATTACATTTTTATTGCACCAATTTAGTCGGGGTGTTTAGACCTTTAAATTGATGTATCACACAACCCATGTTTACATTTGAAAATTTCTCAAAAAGCACCCCTACCCCCCAAATTGGGCCCTTTTGGGGCATTTTTCGAAATTGAAAATAATTTTATTGGATTTGGCATGTCCAAATTAGGGGGAAATAAGAACAAACAAGTGTTAAAAGCCTTACCTTTGCACACAACAGATATGGAAAGTTTTCAAATGAACACCCTGTATATTAATTGACTACAGTTTGTAAAGTTACAATGGTTTTGAAAATAAATAAACGTACGCGAATTACATCTACTGTAGTTTACTGTAGTATTATAATTAACTACAGCGCAGGGAAAACACTACAGTAAAACCGGCAGAGTATTTATTCAATACAGCTACCTCCACACAAATTTTTCATTTTGATAACTAGTCTTCTACCTTCTGAATCCAAATAACATTATTTTTTACCGTAGTTTGAAATTACTAGGTAATATCGTTGTTCAAATATGACTTTTGGAAGTCCGTCATCGGTAGTGTAATTAGTCTGCCAATATATGGTAACTTTTCTTTTTAAAAATTTTTTTAACACATCAAACATGTATAGATTCTCTGTTTTTCTCTTCTGATAATTAAACTGTAACTATTTTTTCAGGACAAGAAGAAGCCGAAGGAGGAGATGAAGTTTTTTAGCAAAAAGCAAATAAATGTGCTACATTATTTTGACATTTAAAGTGTATTATACTTCACTGTAATGTGTTTTTATTCAGATGTATTTGTTTAAGAAATCTTTTAGAAAGTTTTATTCCAGGTTTTTTTCAAACCCTAATTTTTTACCTCAATTGTAGACAGTGCAGTTGGTTTGGTAGTGTGTAACTTTCTTGTCGTTTACCAAACCTTGGTTGAATAATATTTAGTTTTAGGCATTGCTGTTTCTTACATTAAATAAAGTTTTGGAACATCAATACTGTTTTTTTTTTTTTTTTCAAGTTTCCCGGTAGTATAGTTATTATGGTGGCCTAGTAAAGATATTTGCAAGAATGTTGTTCAAGACATGAATGTCGCATACCCTACAAACAGTGGACAGTTCAGGCGTATACACAGACTATATACAGTCAATGGTTCAGGTGGAGTTGACGGGGTGGATGGAATCTTTATGAGTTGCATTTCAAATCAACTTTTTATCCAGCCTTACCATGTGACAGTTTGTGAGCATGGAAAACTTGTTTTATATATGAAGTTGGATTCTTGTAAATTTTTTTAAATAGAAATAAACATAAATCTGGATTCTGATTGTCTTTAAGAGGGTTCCCTACCCCCGCCGAAAAACAATAGAAAACCGCTTCGCGCGGTATCATATAGCGATTCTAGTTTTAACATTTTGTACATAAAGAGTGGTTCTACTAAGTTTGCTTTTTAAAAAATGTCTATGCTTACGCAATCAAGGGCAACGACTTGTCAAAGTTAGTGAACTTTAACTGTAAAGTTCACTAACTTTGACAAGTCGTTGCCCTTGATTGCGTAAGCATAGACATTTTTTAAAAAGCAAACTTAGTAGAACCACTCTTTATGTACAAAATGGTGTTTGGTTCACAATTTAAATGTTAAAACTAGAATCGCTATATGATAACGCGCGAAGCGGTTTTCTATTGTTTTTCGGCGGGGGTAGGGAACCCTCTTAAGTAAGATATTTGAAGCTTGAATAAACATATAAGAACGACTACATAAAATTAAACATGTCGGGAATATACAATGTGTTTACCGATTTATTACATTTAAATGAGACGACAGCTCAACGCAGGTACTCTAAAACTATGCTGTGGCTTTCATTATGTGTTGCTCGAAGCTTTTGTATAAAATGATTCTGAGTCGCCTGAAGACAGCATCAGGTTCTAAAGCATACAATACAATGAAATTTTTTTTCTTGTTTTTTTTTTAGTAAAAAAACGCAACTAAGTACGGCCAACCCAACAAGCAAACTTCAAAACAAAGAGCTGCACATAGTTAATAGCAAACACATTTATTATAAAAACACATTTATTATTTATATTTACATGTACATAATTATTTTAACCTAGTGCTAGCTATCCATAGCTGACTTTAATTTTGCTATCACTTCACTGACAGACAAAGTCCCTGACTGAAGTAGGATCGTTTTTTGTCTGGATCTTGATCCCTGGAAAAAATACATTGTAATATAGGATAGACTACTCTGCCTCTTCTATTCTAGAAATTGAATTGAATGTGTGTGTGTAACCAAGGTTGAAAAATTATTCTTATCAAGTATCCCAAAATGCAAACATGCTAAAACACCAATTAATTTAGCCAACAGTAGGGCAATCAATATCCTTGCATGGGTATACAGGGTGATCAACTCAAGGAGGCCACCATTGGGATATCGGAAACGGTAAGAATTAGAGAAAACTTGAAATGGGGGACATTCCTTTTTTTTTTTGTGGCAGTTAAAAATATGATTTTATTTTTTTGAAATTCAGCCGCCATTTTCGAAAATGGCGGCCAACTTTGAAATTTCTTATGGAACACCCTATATTTTATCATGTTTCCGGATAGAACAGGCAATTTAAAAACTTTTTCATTCTTGACATTTTCTCGATAAACCCACTCGTTTAGGAGTTACAGCCTATGGAAAAATGACTTCCGGTGTACATTTTACATCATGTAGCTCCTAAACAAGTAGGTTTATAGCGAAAATTCGAAAAGTAAATAAGTCAAATAAGTCTTAAAATTGCATACACATTCCAAAAAGACCATAAAATTCGTTAAAACTATTAATTCTATTATTTTAAAAATGGCGGCCATTTTCCAAAATGGCGGCAAACTTGAAAAGTGGAAAACTGTGTATTTTATGGTCTTTATGGAATGTGGATGCAATATTTAGACTTATTTGACCTATTTACTTTTCGAATTTTCGCTATAAACCTACTTGTTTAGGAGCTACATGATGTAAAATGTACACCGGAAGTCATTTTTCCATAGGCTGTAACTCCTAAACGAGTAGGTTTATCGAAAAAATGTCAAGAATAAAAAAGTTTTTAAATTGCCTGTTCTATCCGAAAACATGATAAAATATAGGATGTTCCATAAGAAATTTCAAAGTTGGTCGCCATTTTGGAAAATGGCGGCTGAATTTCAAAAAAATAAAATCATATTTTTAACTGCCACAAAAAATAAAGGAATGTCCCCCATTTCAAGTTTTCTCTAATTCTTACCGTTTCCGATATCCCAATGGTGGCCTCCTTGAGTTGATCACCCTGTATAATGGAGATATAGCATTTTGGAAGTGGTGACCTTGTGGGTGATATACTGTTCGACTCCACAGAGCTAACAGATGTTGCCGTAGTTAGTGGAAACACCATTGGGACCACGACAAAAGGTAGACATCAGTGCAAGTAAACGGTATCAGCAATATGACACATACTTTCTCACATTAGCTTGTCTACAAGCCTTATTATCGGTGGGAAAAACTATCATAAAATCAAAATCACAATTAAAAACCAAAATCTCAAAAAATGAAAAAAAAACGCTTGTAGAGACTATGGATTAATACCCACATACCAAATTTCTTCCAAATCGGACACAACCACAGACATAACTTCCAAAACCACTTTTTTGGGTTCAATAGGACCCAAAACAAATATTAAAAAAACTCGAAAATGTTGGTGAAAACAATATTTTTCCTAACTGTACCTTACTATGTACTATGTAGGGGAACAGAGTAAAATTGGAAAATATTTTGAACTATGTTCCAGAACAAGCATTGGGGCAGCAAAAAATGTGTCTCGACGCGAATAGGAACATAGTTCAATCAAATTGTTGAGATAATTAGAGGGCTCTACATTTTTGATCTATGATTCATTTAAAATTGTTAAGTATTATCAAATCCACAAATTTAAATTTAGTGACCATAAGAGTGTTAAGGAAGTTATGGCCCAATCTTAGCAGAGAAATTGAGGCAAATTGGTGGTGAAGCCAAACATATTTCAAGATTCCTAAAGTATTGTCACAACCACTGAATCGGTTGACAACTTTACAATGTTTACCTTATCTAGAGTGACGTCACTTTTCCGCAGACCTAGGACTCCAGACATGTATCGGACCAATTCCGTGTTGGCTTCCCCCTCTACAGGAGGAGCACTGATCTGAACACCGACAGCCTCCTCACCTATGTCTTGATGGAGAAAATAGATTTGATAAGTTTTAATGATTGTAAAGCTTGATTTAAAAATTATGCAGTTGAAAGCAGGCATAATAGATTGATGAGGAAAATAAGAGCAAGATCAATTATGAATTTTTCACCACACTATGATGTTTTTGGCTGTATTACATACGTTAATTGGTGGCTGAAAGTTACGTTTTGCTGGCCATGCCAGCTGTCGCCAATTTGGGGACCGAGCAGGTTTTTACAGGCCGGGGCCGCAAAATCAGCTGTCCGCTTACTTACTTAGAACATGAATGCGTTTTAAATACACAATCAAAATCCATAGCATTGCAATATAGAATTGTGTTATTGACACCGTTGCCTAGCAACTATTTATTTATATTTTTGCTGATTCCTCAAATTATTTCTTAACCTTAAAGTTGTAGTTGTGTTGACGATCAGTGTGCATTATTATAGTGGTGAATAGTGGTAATAGGGTATAGTGTGGTGAAAAATAGCGTTCGTACCACGGACCGAAATAGTTTTGCAGCTCTCGATCGATTTAAGTTCTCGACATCGTCTCGAACTTAAAAACTATCTCGAGCCGGCAAAACCTCATTTTCGGCCCTTGGTACGAAATATACTATTTATCACTGCTTGGAAATGATTACGTTGCTACACCTGTAACAGTACGCAAAATAGCTCATTTATTTTTCATTTTATATCAACACCAACATTGAAATCAGCTGATTTAGAAACATAACCTACATGATATTTTATATACAACTAACAAAGTTAAAAAGTGTTAATTATGGTGTGTTATTCTGTGTGTTAATTATGGTGGTAGGAAAAATCTTGTGTGTATTACGAGCACAAACAGTCATTACCGCTCTCATAACGTATGGTCGCACTCAGCTTTTCAATGACCCTGCTGTAGGTACCTCATATTCAAACATTTTACATATATTTATGAGCATCTTTTTAGTCACTTAGATTACCTGTAATAGAAATAATCAATGTCGGTATTTTGAATTACGTTGATATTGTAATTTTGGCAATCTAGTATTATTAACAACACCTGACTTGGAAGCAGTGAATAAAAAAATTGGTTTGGTGTTGATCTCAGAGAAACTTAATCGAGATCTTAATTTTACAAACAGTCAGTCATTAGCGAAAAAATTACAACTAAACATTAAATTTGTTAAAAGAATATTTGTAAAAATGTCTTCCCTTTGGATAGAATTATTAGGAATTTCTCACCAGTTATATTATTAGTTTTGGCTCCAGGCTTTGCTAATATTTTAATAGAAATATTTCCATCTTTTCGAGCAGACACTGGTCCTATTGGAATATCTGAGGGAGGGTTCTGAAAAATTACACAGAAATTTAGTACATTTTTTTGTACCTATTTATTTATTTTTTTGTACTGACATATAGAAATTAGTGTACAACACATTGACAACGGTTCAAAGTTACAACATGACCTTAGGAAATAATAAGGCAGTATAAGCCATTGCTCTTTTAAAAACAAAATAATAGTAATCCACTTAGCCAGTTTTTTAATCAACATACTTTGTTGAATTTTTTTACTGTATAAAATGAAAACTGTTTGAATTCAACAACTTAAATAGTTTTACATTTTGAAACATGCAAAGGTGAAAGCAAGAAATATTTGAACAATTTACCTCTTCATTTTTATTGTTTTTGTTTTTAGACTTTTGACCCTTTGATTTTGACATTCTTCCAATTTCTGGGAAATACTTCGAAAACTGTCTAGGAAAGATCCTACATGCTCCAATCATTTGGTGTTAATTTTCAAATCATCTTAAACTTCAATATAGTACTGGTAACCTAAAACAAAACAATACTATAAGATTCACATTCTTTATCTTTTATTTATGTTATGGCCATGTCAAATTAAATAGCTTCAATTCATTGCTACTTCAAAACTACAAACATAAAGTAGTAAATGGTTGTGTTAGGGTATGTTTGGTTTTCATTCACTGAGTTTTTTTATATGTTTCTAAAGGTGTACACAGTTAAAAAAATAGTAAAAATATGTAAACAAAACGTTTAAGTAAAACTTTTAACATAACACTACCCAAAATAAAAGGGCACATAAATACAATTTCCATAATTCAAACATTTCACATGTTTACAAGATTGTACAGGGGAATAACAAGTCAGTTTTCAAAAATGAGCGTTTAATCGACTTGTCATTTTGTAAACAAACTTTTGGTGGGCCGAGTACAGCTGTATGTTTCTATCGACATCCATCCAAGAAACATTACAGGCATCGTCTCCAGCGCGTAGTGTCAGAGAGTCAAGCAGCTTTCCTGAAGCATCATGATAATGAAGAGCTATAGTCTCCACCCAGGCATTATCAGTGTTGCGAGGATCATCCACATATCCTTTGTAAATCTCCTCACCCTTCTTGAAAAGTTTATCGAGCAATTCGATTTTTAACGAATCATTTGATTTGAATTCGTAAGCAAGAACCTCCTCGAAAAACTCTCTTTTCCCGGCTGCAGGAACATTTTCCCCTGGGTTGACCATTCCTCCAGGAAGTCCCCATTCCCCGCTTCTTTTCTGGATGGCGATCATTTGTAGGATGGGTTTACCGGAGGTGGGATTGTGTATCAGTAGGTTTTCTCCGTCCCTTTTCCATCTCGTCACTACTGTGTCTGAAGCGTGGTTAGGACCCCAACGGCCTAAAACACCACGACCTGCAAGGCCAGTTCTTCCGATTGGGTTAATTGGGTAGTTTTTAGAAACAGTGTAGGTTCCGATGTAACTTCTACGGTTTAGCAATCCGTCAACGCTGTTCCATTGCGGGTTAAAATTGTTGTCTCCTATATCGGGATCCGCCCAAGGTTGTCCAACAGTGGAAAACGCTGTGAAAAAAGGTGGTTTGTAGTCCGACCAATCACAGTCCCATCTCACTTTATCATCAGGTACTGCCAACCTCTCCACAGAAAATGGATAGATCCCTGTACGACACCGAAAGTGTATTCTCTCACTGGACACTTCAAAATCGTGAAAACTCGTTTCTCCTTTTGACGCCTTCAACAAAGTAATAACAAACAAAATGGTAGAATCGATTAATTTATGCATTTCATTTAAAATGTTTATCTACTATTGAGATTGTCATCATTTAGAGATGTGAGAAGATAGCAGTATGGGATGAAATCAGAGAGGACTGATCCATATGACAGATAAGGTGTTGAAGTTAAGATGTTTTGGAGTCATAAGTATTGTTTATAACTTATATATTGTCTCTGACTAATTGTAAAATTTAAAACAATTTAAGGTTTGTGATTTTACCCCAAATTGTAGATCATTTCAAGGATACTAACTTGGGTTTTCATTAATGTTTGACTGTGTTACATTAGGATAGCAAATAACAAGCCAAAGTTCTATCGTTAACACGTTGTAAAATACAATCAAAACTTAAACCATACAAAAACATTTTGAGTTTAAAATTAATAAATGTCTTTCTATGGCTTAAATTAGTTTTGGTCTTCTTTATGGTAAAAATCTTTGACTTTTAAAAATCAAGGTCGATGAATAAGAAATATTGTAGCATCTTCATTTCCATTAAGATGGGCAGCAAAAATTTAATATTTAAAATTTCAAAATATATACTAGTTTATCAGTTTTTTAACATGGACAATTCGTACACATTTAAAGATTAGTATATTTTATTTATCAAAGTACAAAGTGCATTTATTGCTTTTTTAATATATTAACACAACACGTATATGACATTGTTTACAACCTTTGAATTACAAATTTAAATCTTAACATTTATTAATAATAGGAAAAATATCGTTTAACTGAATTAATTAAGCTTCTTCGTCGACGTAGTAAAATTTGAGATAATCTGGATGTCCAATGTGAGCCGGTTTCATACTGAAAATAAGAAGTAATAAATCACTAAAATATACTTTAACAACTGACTTATAGAACAAACATTAGGTACGGTATTTTTGGGAAAATAAATATTCAAATCACATCAATCAGGAAATTTAAGAGGAATTATTTAGCTAGTTTAATAATTTACTACCTACGTGAGGAAAAACCCCAGAGGTTTTCCTACAAAAAACTTAACTTTTGGTCGAAGGTCATAGATTGGTAAGTTTTACAAGTTTAGGTAAGAACAACTATCAATCTTTTACAACTTTTTATGAATTATGATTATTCAGACAAATATGGAAACGTTTATTAGGCTATTAAAATGTCGATTATGTGCGAGCTATAGACATGATACGGTTACATGTTACCGGTATTGCATTCTATGTTTACAGTGAATTCTTTTCCTTTGGTAAAAAATTTGTTGCTACTCATGTTGGAAAATGGCCGTTTAGTAATTTCTTAAATAAAACATGTTTTATACTACCACAAACAAGGGACTTATTTCTCTTTCTGTGCTACCCTTCTCTCCTACAAATTTTAACAAAATATAACAGGAGGAGAACGGGACATATAGATTTAATGTATTGATTTTCACGAAATCAAATAATTATATAACAAGTTAGTACTTACTACTGAGCATCCAACAACTTTTTAAGTAGATCCTCGATGAACATAGTTCCTGCAGCTACTTTGACTGTTTTAAAGTCCCCGTTGTCCTACAAAATAATTTCTGTTTTTACACACTTGTGTCAACTGTTTCAAGATTTTACAGAACAGTAACATTTTATTAGTTTTTAATGTTTAATTTTCTCAGTACATCTTCAATTTTTAAATTCCCCACTTCGATTTTAATCGTTTTTCTTTTTGACTTTATACCCTGAAACAAGTTTATGTAGGTACAACACTTGTATAACTTTTTATACTACTAAAACAGGATATTGAAACAAAAGAAAGAGGAGTGGTTTAGCCTGAAATAACTCGCAACATAAAATATATACCTCAATGATACTCAATGCACTTTTCTTCACGTCCAAAACTTTAGCCAGAAACCGCAACATTTCTGCGTTGGCTTTACCATCCACGGGTGGGGCTGCTATTCTCAACCCCAACCTCTCAACTTTGGTGGTCACTGAAATAAAAAATTACAATGAAAATACTCATAAATAGATTCTATTAAGTATAATAAGACTAACAAAGAAAAGGTTTCAGGGGTTAGCAAAAGCGAAGTAGGTATCTAACTAACTGGCAGCTAACAGCAGATTTAAATTGTCACTTAGAAATCTCTACTCAAAAGTTGAATGTTTGATAATGCCACAGTGGTAAATCGCTCACATTTGTTGCATTGCATGTTTCTTATCTGGTGTTAAACTCAATTTGTGTTTTATAGGAATCACGTACTGAGTTCATTTCATTAAAAGTCTGTGACAACTACACCACGGACACGTGTTATAAAGGGCAAGTGCAAAAAGATGCCAAAGAATAAACCTGATGATATAAAAAATAAGTACAGAGCGTTTGATTTAATTAAAAATATTTTCACACCAAAAATAGTATACAATATTGTTAGAGGAGCATTTAACTAAAACTAAATTTAAAATCTTGCATAATGATGATAGTATGGTATTGTACATTAGGGTGGCCCATATTATAAAGGCAATTTTTCAAAGTTAACTTAGACATCTAGGCACCCTCTCATATTTTTACTTATAATAACCATAGTAACCCTGCAAAGTTTCAAGATGATATTCTGATTGGAAAGAAGTGCTCAAAGATATTTTATATGAAGTAAAATTCTTGAAAATCGGAACTTTTAGGGATATTATGAATTAAGTACAATCAGCTAAAAATAAGTAAATTGAATGTATTTTGTGTATAATATAAGAATACAATAGAACAATGTTATGATTTTCTTGAAAAGATCGCTCAATTCTTTGACGATGACGGTTTCAAACTATCGACAATCGATCGTTTTGTAGTCTGTGTTGGCACCATCTTTCTGTTCGCTTCTATGACTTGTAGGAGCACCTGCTTTTCACCTTCATCATTTGTTAACAGCTTGTTAAACTCTTCAAATAGCTTTACTCCTCTTTCTGCCAAATCATTTACAACCTTAAGGTTGCTGATGATGTTTTGACCTTTAATATACTCAAGGTCATTGTTCCATTCATTTGGGTGATTGGTCAAAAAACTGGTATTAATTGCTAACTTCTTAAATAACTGCAATGATCTTTTTGAAGCAAAATCAGCCAAACATGCTTTCGCTTTCTTATTTAAAATTGCAGCATTTCCTCTCACTTTCCGGTCAGCAGGCTCACATGTCATCTTTTCCACGATTGCCACCTTATCCTCGACAGATACCTTCTTTGAGAATAGACTCAAACCCACCAACTCATCGGAAAGGTACCAAAGATGAGATTTGAAAGCATTTTGAACAATCTCAGCTACTTCAGGATCAATATCTTTGTACTTTGTCATGTCATTCCACAGAGAGAGGTCTGACCATGGAGCATTTGAAGCCAAAGGAGCCTCTACCCAATACTTAACGTAAACGAGAACTCCAAACTTAACAAAGCGTTCAAGCTGAGCTTTCTCCCTTGGTGTTGTCACAAAACCATTATCATCACGAAACAAGTAGATTTTGATGCTATATAACAGCTTAGCCATCCAACGGGCATGGTGTACTGCTCCAGGAGCTCTCCAATGGATTTTGGCTGGAGTATGGCCCAAAGCAAGTAAAGCCAGCTCAATTAACTCCATGTAGTCATCTCGAGGTTGATTCTTGCCTTTTAAGGCAACCGTGAGAACATCAACTGATGATTGTTTGAGATCTTCACTGCCAGGAATATTTCCCAAAGGCTGATAACTGTCTTGCCTTATAAATTGCCATGCTGCTTTGAATCTTTTGAATATAGGTATATCGGGTGAACTGGAGGGACCAAAGCAGAACGTAAAAACTTTACTGAGAACAATCTCTAAAACATGGTGTCTGCATGCCAGCCATAATAATTCTTCTTCAACTTGGTGCTCTAGCAAAACACAAGCTCCATTTTTCAATCCTGTGTTTACAGACGTTGTATCAAAACACATACCTACTACCTTTTTACCCAAGTCCCATTCTGTTAGCTTTTTGTAAACTGCATTAGCTGCATTTACACCAGTACCACCAACTAATTTTGGTACACCAAGCAATTTATCTTTACCATCAGCAGGACAAGACACTAGGACAGGCAACCGATCAACCTTATCAGTTCCCAAAATATCAGGAAGAATTTTCCCATCCCAGTGTACAATGACTGGATCATCAAAAGCTGTAGATTCCTTTATTGATTGAAATATAGTTTGTCTTGCTTCTTTCCTTTCACGTTGAATAGTGCTCCGGGAGAGTGGCAATTCTCTGGGGTCATGACCTAGGGCTGCTGCAATAGGAGCCATTAATCTTAAAGCTTCCCTATCAGATACTTTATTGCGGTCCAATGCACTAATGACGTGAGGAGAAAACAAAATTTTCTTTGCAATTGGTGGAGACGACAAGTCTGGGCGTGGGCGGGATTCGCTTTTATTTTTCTGGGTTGCTGAGGATGATGGTTTATACAGCTCTTCTACTGATAAGTCTTTCATTGGATCAGAATCTTCTGATGAATCATAATCTGAAATTTGACTGGAAGCAGTTGGAGTCCCCAATACCAAAGTAGTTCCTGCTTGAACTTTTTCAAGTCTCTTCTGTTCTTTCAATTTTCTTTCACAAATTCTTTCTTGTTTCTTTGTGTATTCCTTATCTTCTGTTGAGATGATCATTTTCCTTTCAGTCCTTTGATCTATTAAGAACTGCCTGTCTTCATCTAATTTGCACATAGTCAGTGCTTCATTGTGAGCAATATCAAATAGCTTATCAAGCTGCTCTTCAAACAATATTTGTCTTTTCTTCTGGGCATCGGAGGTTCTTGCTTTGTTTTTTTTTAACAAAAGCCATTCCGTGTGTACTTTCTCAATCTTGTCAATACAGTGTTTTATTAGTCTAGTTGGAATAGAAGCTTTTTGCCATACCGAAATCAATTCTTCCACGGTTGAGTGGCTTGCATTTCTTACAGACTTTTTTTCATTTAGGAAGAAATGAAATCGGAGGAGAACTTGCTTTAAAGTGGGTAGTTGATTAATCCGAGTTAATGGCTCCAGGTCTCTGATTCCAATTAAAAATACATTGTCCGCTTTACGTGTTGTGGATGAGTGGGAAGCCATATTTACGCAGAAATATCACAGTTCTAAACAATGCAAACTTTGGTTCACTTTTTACACATTGTCTTGGTTGTAACAAAATAGCTTTGACTAAAAAATATTTACATTTTTTTCTATATTAATTATATAAGTCTTTACTGGTATTTATTCAACACAACTTTCACTATTTCAGTACCTGAAACAAAAAAATAAAATAAAAAATCAATTTTAGAAAAACCGATTGAAATTCAAAAATCTTAAAATTTGAAGGTTCTTGAGCACTGCTTTCTACTCAACCTATAACACTGAAACTTTGGCAATTATCTTCTATTAGGTAAAGTAAAAGATTGAGAGGGTGCCTAGGAATGTAACATGATTTTGAAATTTTTGGGCCACCCTATTGTACATCACTATCTTGAAATTGGGTGTCGTTTTAAAACAAAAATTTGTTTAGTGAATCCTCTGAAAAAGTTCAATACATTTTTAAAATAAATCATGCAAAACATCTTATAGGGTTTTAAGAAACTAAAAACTCTTATTTTAATATATGCCATAATTTTATTACACTTCTATTACCTCCAATGATAGTTTTGCTTGCATTAGGTTTAGCTAATATTTTAATCAAGATATTTCCTTCCTGGTCATATGTAACGGGGTGGTTGCCATACTTGGGTTCTTTCTTTTCTTCATCCTACAAAAAAAGAACACTTTAATTACTACGTATGCTTTATAAAAAAACTACTTAATATAATATATGTCTAGTTTTGAAACTAGAAACAAACTGTACTAATGGGGAGACGACCCAGGATTGAGAACATTGCTAAACCAGAGTTTAAAAGCACTGGTACAAATATTTTAGGTTAACTCTTTAAACTATATATAATCAAATTAATTTTTTTACACACAATATAAACCAACCCTTAGTTATCGTTGATTAAAAAAAATTAAACATATCTTTAAAAGATACGACTAAGGTAAAGTATGTATTTAAAAAAAAAAATTCTGCCTTGATCAAGACATTTTTGAACTACAATAAAAAAATTAAATTAAAATTATATACTTTTAGTTTTTAATAAAATAGAACATCAACGCTGATTAACTTTAAAGGTTTACTAAGATTTCAGGTATTTTATATCAAAGTTTCAAAAAGTCATTCTAAGTAGTATGGTAAGATGCGTCTTTTACATAGTATCATATTGAGCAGTCCACTGAATCATAATAAACTTAGAAAACTTACATATCCACAGCAAACCTTCCCTGTAAAGAACTCGGTGCTATCTTCAACCGACCGAACAATTTCATCTATGTCGGATGATGTCAATTCCGTTTTAATTTCACCTATAAACAAAATTTTTTGAGATTACCAAGACAATTCTCAACGGAGTAAGAAGAAGAGAAATTGTAAATACATAAATGTATGTTTTATGATTACAACCTACAACACAGGAAACAAAATAGAAAGCTTTCATTAATTTATCAGATTGAGATGTATGGTGGAATGAAGTACACAAGTATAAGAACTACCTATATCATAAATTTAAATATAAATATCTGTCAGAAAGTTATCTGTCAGTGTTTTTATGTTAAGAACAAACAAAACTTAATAAAAGCTAACAACATACATTAACATGGCCCAGAGAAAAACTGATAATGTAAAAAACTAAAAGAGAAGTTTATGCTTATGTTTTGATTTCTAGAAGACGTAAAACTACAAAAAAGGCTCACATAATTTATTGACGTACCAGATTGAGAAGCACATGTTGAATGGAGTAAACTCAAAGACAAACATGTCACAACTATTAAACTCAATGACTCCATGCCAATGTCGTTGAACCTGATAAGCACCATCTCTTGAATAAAACAATTTCACAAACCAATAATTCCAGAACATTGCAATGTGCACTAAATATCACACCGTAAATTATACACACACAGTTTCACCATGGAACACAAACAACAACATTCAAGGACAACTTAGGATTTTGAAATTTGAATAATCACACATCACGAGTAAATTTAAAATGTATCTGATTGGATTTTTAAATAGTTATTGTTAAAAATGTAACAGATTAACAGAAAATATGAGATGGGAAAAGTTTGTCGTAATTGTTCACTTATTTTTCAATGTCAATGGTTCAGATTTAGAAACTGAATCTCACTATGAAAAGTGCAAGGAATTTGAGGTAAGCTAAGATCACAATAAGTAGGCTATATAAACCTTTTCCTCCACCATTTCTGTTTTAAATAGTATGGTGAACATACAATTTTTAAATGGAGACATATTTTATTAAACTGAAGAGTCTAATAACATTTACATTTTGTTGGCCAACATCACAAACATTACGATGTGCACACACAATTAATAATAAGCGCAGGTTGTATGTAAATAGATTAACCAAACCTTTAATGAGTAGTCAAAGTAATACTTTTTTGTTGTTTCAGAAAGAGATGGGGAAACCAAATATTTACTATGATGAAAACCAAGATTTAATTATGAATGTAAAGTTATACAGAGGGAACTCAAACAGGGTAATAGGTAAATATAAACTGTTAAAAAGTAGGCTATATATAATACTTTGTGGTACAACTGTTATTTTATGGACTTTAATACTTTAGTCAGTTTTTTACTGATTCTAATATTAATTTCTTCAAATAACACGTTTTTCTGTCAATCCCCCCAAGTAGACCCTATCAATTTATTCCGGTATATTTATCTGTAGTTATTTTTATTCTGTCTTTTTAATCCTTAAATTATATGCGTAATCCTCTTATATCTTCCTTGAGCGCTCAAGTCCATCCTACAGGCCCATATAACTTCCCTACATGTTTGTTGTAATTCTAAGAAGTCTTAAGAAGTTAAATTGGAATAGATAGACTTAAGTATTTAGAACATTTTCCATATAAGGGTTTTCTCAAATTAAAAAATGTTATTATACTGTACTGTTAAAATAGTAGTATGAGAATTAAATATTTGATTTATGATTTAAATAGAGATAATAAATCTGAATTTTTTTAGAAAAAATCCCAATCAGTCAAAAAAATGTATTTAGTATACAGGTTTGCTGTGTTGGGGTTTTTTTTATTGTTCTAACGACATTTTCAAGTATAGAATGGAATGAAAATTCAAATTAAAAACGTCTCTAGCTGATCCACAAAGACAACAAATTTATGAAATGATTAATGAATTTATGACTAATAATGTGTTCAATTTTGTGACTTGATAACAAATAAATTGCAAATTTCATTTGTACAAACCTGTGTATTTTTAACGTAGTAGGCATTGAATAGTTTACATAATTTTCAATCCCACAGATAGTGGGATGACCTCTGTTGGTATTCAGATAAAAGAAAATGAAGACATGAGTGAAAATGAAGCACTAGTTAAATTTTTAAGCACTGTTATTGGTGTGAAAGAATCATCTTTGACTGTGTTTCCTGTAAGTACTCACTGTCTAGTTAAGTAAGACTCGTTTTATGAACTCATTGATTCCAAACTACATTTTATGGTAGGTATAACTGCTTCTAAGAGTATTTTTGCATCTTGATGTAGGTTTTTATATATTACCTGTTCCAATCAAGTGTAATCGATAATTAAACTCCTAATTGTCCACAGCAGTTTGGTTTTATCTAGCAAGGGAAGAGTGTAGGTATACAGAAGGATTCAGACGATTGTAATTTTTTTCAAATTTATCGTACATTCATCTTCCAATCAATTCAGCTGATCAATGATTTTACACATGTATACACTGATAGACACACATTTTAAATTGTGGCAGGGTAAAGTATAAAATTGTGTGGGCCTACCTAGTTTGCAGAAACGTATTAATATTTAACACCTGGGTATTTATCATTTCATTTATATTATATACTAAGCGTATACCTTTTTTTAAATCATAGCTTGATGCAGCCATTCAATAGTGGATCATTTAAATTTAACTTATGTAAACTGTAAAACAACAGTAAGTTAACTTGTAATGCTAATTTTGAATCTAAAAAATCCATCATATTATTGTCTGTCCTTACTCTCTATTTCTTTTTGTCTTAAGCTACTTCAGCCTTAAGAAGGGATCACGGACAGGATTCACCATTGCTTTCATAATATGTGTTTGTTTTGAGGTTTACTGTAATTTAAGGTGTCTAATACATAACTAATTTCAGGGAGAAAAGTCTTTTCAAAGATCTGTGAAAGTTAAAGGATCTGCCATCACTGCCTACGAGTTGATCGATAAATTGGTTGCTGCCTTAGAAGTTACTGCAAAAGAAGAGCCTTCAGCGCTTTGTGTAACGGACCCTGAAGAACTTGCAGATGTGAAGGAAGCACAGGATTATGAAACTAGGGAGTTTGACTGGACAAATAAAAATTTGTAATAGAAACAATAATGGACAACCTATAGTATTTTTCTTTCTCGATTCTACCAGTTAAATTGTTTCACCCTTTAAATTACCTTAGTTGAAGATTGCCTTCAGGGAATCTCAAATTACATAAAGATAATTCTAACAATAGATTCAAGATTGCTGACAGTATAAAAAACCTTTTATTTAGTGCTGATTCAGTGTTAATTATATGTTTTAGTTTTAATACTTACTGTAAGTAAACATAAACTAGTTGTTCTGCCTGTGTTTCGCAACGGGGCAATAATACTCAAGCGTATTTTTCAACTAAATAGTTCAAAAACACAAATAATAAGAATTTCAAACATTACAAAACAAAAAAGTTGTCTCTTTTGTCTTTTGATGAGAGTTGTCGTTTATAAAAACCACACATTTTTTGGCATGAACATAGATCAAAATTTAAGTTGAAAATTTACATTGAAACTACAGTAAAGAAACTAAACCCAGCTTTTTTTCAAATGTATGTTTTAAGTTTAAGTAATGTAACCAATTTCAAAACCAAGCTTATGGTATACAGTATTATCAGAAACATTTCACCGAACGGGGACTTAACTTTATAATGCAGCTTCAATTTTTAAATACAAAAGAAAATTTGAGAATCATGTCTTTTTGTAAAAAAAAAAAACATTATGATATTGTAAACCTCTACTTGAATCATTTGCTATGTCCACACTTGTACACTTTTAATTTCAACGTACCTTTCAACTTTCAATTCAACATGCATTATTGCATGTGCGCTTTGAGATGCATTTTCCAACATGGATGTAGTTGACGCTATTCTGTTTGTAGGAATTTGTGCAACATATTTTCTTAAGAAAAGTTAAAAAATGTAAGAAATCAAGGCGTACACAATGTAAATGAAGGAGTATAGTCAAAAACTCAACTTCTTATTATAGAAAGATTTAAAGAATGTGACAATGTGTTGTTTAACTAGCCTACTTAATACTTTTTATCGAAATGGCGACCATACTTTGACCATAGGCCCTACTTAGGATGTCAAAGAACAAATTTAACACACTTTTAGAGCTGGTTCGGTCAAAAATTTAAAAATGTGATACTCTCTTTAGAAATATAAGGTCGCCATAGCTTTGCGATTCTTAACAACTTGTGATAGCTTTGCGTCGCTGATTTGTCTGTTCAGGTTGTCCAAACAGTTAATCTCAGCAACAACACCAATAGTTCTTAGGGCAATAATTGGATCTCTGAGACATTTTAAATGGTATTTATTTATTTACAAAATAATTATCAAATTATTTATATGTAAGTAACGTTAACTAAATCTAGTTAACAGATAACATTATGAAAGTGGAAAAAATCAACTATTGATACATACACTTAATAAAATACATTTACTGTACTTGTTTTACGAAGGCGATTTAATAAATTTACCACAAACTAAAAATGTTCTTTTACTATTCGCCCAGTGTCCAGTGTAGATATCTATGACTCCGATATTTTACAAACAGCTTTTAAATGTTATACTAAAATTCTTTTATCACATTCCCATTTCCAGGATTGCTCTCTCCATCAGCAAAACAATCAAATAGAGGCAGTAGTATTCTCAGAATTTGATGATGTAGCATACAATTCTACTCTGGGTTTATAACGTCCTATTGTGTTTCATTTATCTCCTGTAGTTGAAGGTCGAACAAGATATTCTGTATTTTATTTTTGGCAATAACCCTATTTTTGGGGTTCAACTTACGTAACTCAGCTTCCACCATTTGTACAAATATGTTGCAGTCGTCCTTTTGTGCAATAGACGTGGAGGTGAAAGCTTCTTCTTCTTTCTTTTCTTCTTCCTTTTTTCTTTTTAAAAGGTTCCTGTTAGTGTGTGTGTGCTCTGATGTGTTTATATTTTCGCTCATGTCTTTCCGCTCTATTCCCGGTTTGAGACAAACATCTCCACACCAAGAACATTCGGGTATTGACATTTCATTAGTTTCCTAAAATAAACACATGATTAATTCATTAACTCTTAACTAATAGGCTAACGTTAAATATATTCTTATTACAATTTTCAGATGCCAGAAACTGAAAAGCGATTGGAAGAAATCGCAAGAGGCACTTGTTTACGGTGGAATTTCCTAATTGTGTCCGGATTCTTGATGGGAAGCACATAGTGATTCAACGACCTGAAAATACAGTTGTTAGCAAAATTGTATAATTATAGAGGAGATCGCAGTATTGTGTAATCATGGCTATTGGGGATGGCAATTATAATTTTATCTATGTCAGCATAGGTTGTCAAGGCCAAATATCAGATGGAGGTGTTTTTAGAAACACAGTTTTACACTAGACTTGATCATGTGACCAAGTGGTGAACCTGGCAGAACCAAACCAATCCTGTAAACTTACTATTTGCAGATGAAGCCTTTTTATTGGCTTATCACACAATGAAACCTTTCCCTGTTTATGTTGGGAAGGGGCCCCCAAAGACAATATTCAATTGTAGAATATCTGGGGCAAGGCTTTTCAGGGTGTCCACAGAAATTTTGTCATTAATTTCCCTGACTTTCCATGACCATTAACCATTGATTTCCATGACTCACGAACTTTACTCAAAAATTATAATACAGTAGAGTCCCGCTAACTCGGCACTCGATAACCCGGCAGTCTGGATAACTCGGCCATCACCTGGCTCAGAAAATTAGTGATTTTTTGAGTGCTAGTTAATCATGGACTCAAGCCAGCTTAAGTCAAATTATTCGCAACTGGTATTAAGGATTTGTTGTACTATATCTGATGACTTAATACTGACTAGTAATATAAATATAAATAAAAAAAGGCAGTTAAAAAGCTTAAAAACTGTATTGTTCTTATTTTTAACCCTAGTTCCCGATAACCCGGCATTTCATTAACTCGGCACCCTTCCAGTCCACATTACGCCGAGTTTGCGGGACTCTACTGTATACTGTAAAAACTTGAATAATAGCCTACTGCCTGGACAGAAAATACTGAAATATATATTGACAGATAACAATGGCGTACAACAGGTACAACAATAAACTAAATACAAACTCAAAACCTATAAACTAAGACAACTGTATAAATTGAATTTTTGTACATTTATGAAAAATTCAGAAAAATGCTACAATAGTCGGGGTTACGGCCGACTAGATCATTAAAAGGAGCCCTGAAATCCATCCATCATTGGGGATTTCCATGACTTTCCATGACTTTTTGCCTATTTCCATGACTTTCAATGACCAGAATTTTTTTCCATGACTTTCCATGACTATCCCTGACTTTCCAGAATGTGGACACCCTGAGTGGGAAATGCTTTTGGTTTAGGCCTATTAGCATTGGATTTCAGTTTTCCCTGAACCAATTGAACTTCAAGTTGATGATGCTGTGTTTGATATTGTGCTTGCATGTGTGTGTCTTCACAACTTCCTCAGATCCGAGCAAGATTTTCAGCGGTTCTACTGTCCTCGTGGCGCTTTTGATAACGGGTAAACCTGTACAGGTCAGTTAATACCCTAGAACCTGAAGGCAGATAATGGTGAAAGACTACTGCGCACAACACCGCACAATATACCTATAATGCTTCTAAAGCAGTGGGACAAGAATTTATGGAGTACTTCATATCGCATACGAGCCATCATATAAGCCAGAAGAATACAATATGCATGGCACTTTTAGCGAATTTCCCATATAGGGAATAAGCTATTACCGTAGTACTCATGGTAAGACCTGGACCCGGGACCGATTTATTTTTTCATTTTGAGGTCCCTAGAGGCCAAAAACACCATCCGTTCAAATTCATATATATATATATATACTAGCTGTGTACCCGTTCTACGCACGGGGTATCTTATAGTAATCAGTTGAAACCTTCTTATATAAAGAACAGCAGTTGGTTTGCATATTTTCAGATATGCTGGCCAAACTATTTATTACACATAACTTCATTTTATGTCGTTTGTTGTTGTTCCGGATCGGTATGACAATCAATAAAAGGCTAAATTACCTGTGTCCGCTGGTCGATCCTAATGTATCCTATTTCAGGAGATGTATTTCGGCGAAATTAAATCGCCATCATCAGTCCTAAAGGTCTTGAGCTTCCCCATTAGATGCGTCTTGGAGTTTTTGAAACACATACACGAACTGTACACTTATACACATGACGAATAAAACATAAATACACAGTAGGCCTACTTTTATTTTTACTATAGACAAGTAGATGCACGTCGGTCGTGTGCCGAGTCTCGACTGAAAATGCTCATTTAAAAATCCCAGCAATATACAACACTGATTCAAGGTCTATTTCCCGGTTATCAAAACTCAAGAACAATTTTATAAACAAAGAATCTCGATTTTCATTTACTGTTACCCTACATATTTTTGCACTTGCGATTAATTAAATCCGTTAAGTAAGGAAAAACGTTTTTAATCTTAATTGGTTTGGATTTGCTTTCAAAACGTGATCGGAAATGGTTGCGGTATTTGTAAACAACATTCAATGTAAACATATCAGTGACAGCTAGAAGAAATAATCTTGATTTGAACAGCTGTTCGTTATTTCATAGAAGAATATGTGCTAAACATTGGGAGAAAACTTTACAAAAATCGCACAAAATTGGGTTTTAAAACGTCCGTTATTTTATTTACGAAGTGTTGACTTGACGCTATATTTTAATGGCTAAAGACAATTTCGCCAATCCAGTGAATACATTAAAATGATTTGGAACTTGATAGGTACTCTCGTTTTTCAGGAGTAGGCCGCGTAAAATGGCTCTTGGGTCGTAACAGACATGAAGACAGACAGAAATTTAGATAAGACTTGTTTCGGTTTCTCTAATGTATAAAACGTAAAAATAACCTAAAAGTTTATGATTCTGAGCAATGTACAGACAAAACTCGAATTTTATTTATATAGATATATATGTGTCCGTCAGCACGATAACTCGAGCAAAAATGATCCGATTTTGATGAAATTTGGTACAAACGTGTAAACCTACATTTATTCGAACGAGTTCGCAAACCAGCATGATCGGACTATGGGAACGGGGTTTTATGGGGTAAAAATAGGTTTTTCCTATTTTTGACCCTAAAAACACAAAATTTTACAATTTATTTCCAAACCATTTTGTAGAGCTTAAAAAAACAAATAATTTAGTATTCTGAAGCGTTATTGTGCGCCTAATGGTTACAGAGAAAATTCCAAAAAATTGTAAATTTAAAATCCCTATGTTATTTTTATGGAGAATAAGTCAACTGCTGTAGTTTATGAACTTGTTTATGAACATAGGTATTTTGATCGAATTTGGAAAATACATTCATTTCTTACTAAACTATTAACATAAAAAACCACCTTTTTACCCTCCCTGTTGCAGCAAACCTAAGTACTCGTTAAACTAATTCTATTTAAATAGGGAATTAAATATGATATTTTTAAGGAGGCATTTTAATGTGAAATCCTATCAGGCTAATGGAAATTTGCTTAGTCTGCAGGTTTACTGCGGCGGGGGTATTTTAAAATATCTTGGCTAACTCTGTATTCCTATATAGAATTCTGTAATATGCATAGGCTTAGCCTATATGTTTAAATGAATCCAAAAGAAGTTTATTCACCTGACATTTAAAGCAAAACATTCGGCCAATTTGTCTTTTGATTGACTTACAGTGTCTGGCAGTCAGTATTGCAATCGAGTACGTGAGTTACAATGAGATTAGCTTAGGCCTATATAGGCCTATTATTCTCACCTCATCTTCATCCAAGGTGTCTTCAATGTTGTCGGAGATACCGTGCAAGTCCTTTGTGTCTCTTGAGGTGTCAGAATCAAGAATGAACGTTAACGAGGAATATGCAAACCAAAGGCGTCTCGTACTTGCTATCTGTTCCCTCACCCCTTTTATTAGCAAAGTAAGTTAACTATTGGTGCTCTTTAGAAAAAAAAGACCGCAAACTTTTTATTTTATTCCGTACACCCTTCTCAGTCATATTGTATTTTTTGGCTAAATCCAAGTAGGCTTCATTTTGCTTTGTTTTATTAGTGTAAAATGTACTACGTAGGCCTATGTCCCACAAACACACATGAGAGCGATAATTTTCTATGAATTATAAGATTTCTTTGTTATTCATGTTGCTCCAAACAACTACCACGGACGACTAGTCAAAAATGTAAAGCAGTTGAAAGGTAGTTTTTTTGAGTCGGTGGCTCAGTCAGTAGCGTCGCGGACTTTGGGCCCAAGGCAGTGATGTCGAAGGTTCGGATCCTGGTCACTGCCACTAAAATTTATCAGTACAGTTCACCTTTGTACTGTACCGGCTCCCTTGCTTTGCTGCAAACGTTCCACGCACAGGCGGTTAGTCTATGTGGACGGGCAAATGCAAGGTTAAAAGAGGCCACCAACCTCTTTTTTAAAAAGTAATAAAAAAAATAATAATAAAAGGCACCGAAATCCAAGGCTGGTTAATAGTCAATGCGCTAAGCTGTGCGCTATTGGATGGAGCTCCATCTGATTCAATTCGGACATGCCTTGACGCATGCACTTGGCGCACAAGAGTGGACCTAGGTATGCTATAGCCTACTTAACAATGCCCAGTCACCCCAGTATATTTATATATTCAAAACTTTAAGTTACTTAGTTATTTTTAAATACCGTAATTTGCAATCTTACAGAATAAACCAGTTTAAAGATAACTATCCAACCCGGCCGGTTTAAAAATTACTTTCAATACCCAAGACGGTCTCTGTTAAGCCTATTTGAAAAATCACCTTTTTATGAGTTTAATTAAAACTTCACAATAATCTTATTAACTTACCTGCCAGGATTAAAGAAGTTCAAGAAATATCTAACTTGGATTTAAAAATCGTTTAGTCATACCACCTAGCCTATATCTTTTATCTAATGTGTAACTTATTAGCCTACTCCATCAATGATTATTCAAACGACAATGATCCAGAAAGTTATTTCCCATAATATTAATAGAACCAATAGACTAGTACAACAACCGAATGAGTAATTTTGATTATTCGATTGTTTAATTCGATATATCGTTTGGTTAGGTTAACCTCACCTAACTAACCAAACGATATATCGATCGATATTTTCATTCGGTTGTTTGTGCCAACAGATATGGAAGTGTACCCAAACAAACCAAAACCACAGACTAGGGAGTTTCCCTAACTGTAACAAAACCCAAACCTTCTAATTGATTCAGTCGATAACTTAATATGAATCGGGTACCAACATTACAACCTGTTCTTTTGTGCAACAAACATTACAATGCTTCAACTTAAACATGTTGGGATGTTACAGCAAATATTTTTAAAAAGTCTGGAAGGTTTTTGTTAAGTTATAACCTGAACCAATAGCCACATAGCCTAAGTTATTAAATAGGCCTAGACACCAGGCTAAGTTATTACGAATAAAATAAATATCAAAGTAAGCATAGCCAAATTTTTAAGTAAAATTATGCTGTAGGGTTATACTGTAATGGCTTACCAAGCAATAACTTATTGTAATTATTTTCCCGATTACTGGCGATTCTGTGTTGTTATTAATTGGTGAGCGGTGTTTTATTCTACGATATGTTGATGTCGATATAACTTAACCAAAACCAACCTCTCCTCTTAAACATAAACAAACAAAAACATCCGATTGCGATTCAGGACAGGAACAGAACGAGAACAAGTAAGAACAAGAAACTGTTGGGTTGGGTTTAGGGGGTTTAGGCACGGCACAGACAAGGGATTAAGGGAAACAAACTTTTGGTTTAGGTTAGTATAGCCTGGTTTACACGGGTCGAGTACGGCGGGCGAGTCAGTGTGCGAGTTGCCACTCGCTCTTTAACTCGCTTGGTGTAGACATGCAGGCGAGTCGAGCAACGGGCGAGTTGATAAAAAGAGGTCAGTTGAGAGCGAGTCGAGTGATTTAGTTGAAAACCGAGTTACTCGGCCCAGTAGCTACCCCCACCACCACGATTTGCCCGCGTCGATCACAACGATCAGTATTTTTGGGGTTAGTTCAGTAGTGTATGCCTATTGCCTAATCACCCTCAATACTAAATGGTTCAGTTGAACAGTTGGCCCTGCGTTGCATTGTCTTGCTGTTCTTAAATCTACTCACTCTTATAAAATTCAGTTTTCAAAATTGTTGTACAACTTAAGATCTATCAGAAATACTATGAAAACGGTGTTTTCATATTTTTTTTATTTGGAGGCAACTTTTGGTTGCCTATATATTTTATTTTAAAGAAATGCAGTACCGGTATAGTAATTTGTAACAAATCTTATTCTTTTAGAATATCACCTTCCACTTTGGTCTATCGTATTAAAAAAAAAACTTTAGCACCCCCTGAATTTAATGGATGATTCAGTTTTAATTCTACTAATCTAATTGTGATGTAATTAATTTATAAATTTAGCATTAAACTCTTGAAGTCCCATTTTAAACTCAAACAACATTTAACACGAAAGCTACGGTATACGGAATACCCTACACTAAAACATATATTCAGTAATAAAAGTGATTCTTTAAATGTTAGAACAAAACTGTATATTTATTATGATAGAAAAATGTAAACATAAACATTTGACAGATGTTTCAGATAATTGTTAATATTAAATTATAAGCCAGGTAGGCCCTATAATTGAAATATATTAATATTACAACCACAGAACAGAGAAATTATAAAAATTACTTCTCTGTGCCTACACTGTCGCTGTTCGAAATAGGAAGGAATCAAGGCCGCACTAGATATACAGGAATGCGTGTAGACAGTCTAGTCAAGTACCGGGCGAGTTGAACAAATCAACAACTGGGCCTAGTAACTGGGCCGAATAACTCGTCTAGTCGTCTGACATACTCGACCCGTGTAAACCAGGCTTATGTTCCTATTATTTTCCCGAGTAGGCTGCCTTCAATTTTTCTCATGAGGTTCCAGAGTTAATAGATTCAAGATCATGAAACCAGAGGGCGAGCTCTTGTGTATAAAGATCTCGTTATATTTGGTCAAAACAACTATAGTTTTGAAATAGAGTAAGCGAAATAAAAAGAATAAAGAAAGAGACAGTGGACAAAAACAACCCTTCGTGAATTGGACATTATATAGTAAATGATTGGACACAGCTAACATAAAAATTGTCTGCAGCTTATCCTAAAAGATGATAAGACTTTTAAAAGTATATTGTTTAATCTAACACTTTTATTAATTGCTTTTCCAATGGTGCTCTTACTGACCAATACGAGCTGTGGTTACTCTTAAAAACGGCAGTTAATTTATTAGAAGGCCAATTAATCATGCTTAACTACAGTATGACTCCTAAAGATCTAACCGGAGATTTTTTATTTTAGTTATAAGCCACTTACAATACAATCCGCATAAGATGAGCTTTATATCAACTCAGCTCCCACACAACATAAGAATATCCTTGGAATGTCCTGGGGATATCCCAGTGGGATATGGGGGATATCCTCTGTATATCCCGCAATGTCCTCAGGATATCCCACTGAGCTATAATTAATTCTAACTCAGACGTTAGAATTATAGCTCAGTGGGATATTCTGAGGAACTCCCTGGGATATCCCTATGTCCGCCCAAATCCTGATCCCTGGGATATCCCGCCAGGATATTCCTGGGATATCCCACCAGGATATTATAAATAAAAACACAAAATAATAAATATTTAGTCTGAAAAACACTTTTACCAGTTAAGTATTTTAATTATAGCTCATAAAAACAAATTTTGGAAAAAAATAGAAACAAAAATATTTTTGCACAGACAAGTTTTGAACCGGGTACCTTTGACTTATGAAACTCTTGCATTACCTCCTGAGCTACTTGTGATTGTTGATATTACTAGTTTTCAAGCGGTTATAGCCGACAGCTGAAATGGTCGCAATACTTAAATATTTTTGATACTATGATTCTGTTTAGGCATCAAGTTGTTAAAATTGTTTTTCTGGGAGTTTTAGAGGATACTGTAATAAGAATATATAGATCATAATTAATTGTTATATGATTAATTAATATTTCCCCTTAAATTTTCAGCCAAGAAATTTTCTCAAAAAACTTAGAATTTAAATTAAAAAGAAAATATTTTTGCATTATTATTGTTATTGTAAACAGGTGTATTATTATTATTATAAAATGGTAAAAATTTAGAGTTTGATAGTTGCCCACGGGGATATCCTACGGATCTCCAAAGGATGTCCTATGGATATAATAGGAAAACATGATTAATTTTTATAAAATCATTATAGTAACATTTAGTTATTTTAATTCGAAATAGAATTGAAATCCTTTTTATTAACGTTTTCCAAGCACTTGTCACTTGAAAAAATACATCCAAAACTATAAAATATGTTTTAATATAGGTAGCCTACCGAGAATATCCATAGGAAGTCCCCAGGATATCCTCAAAATGCATTTGTTTGTGCTGGATATGTGCAATATCTTAGAGTGATCCTAGGGACATTCTCAAATCAAATCCGGGGATCTATCCGATCTATGTGGGATATGTGGGAACTGGCCAGAATCCTGTGCTATGTGGGAAGCTGTATTCGGTAGCATATTTCGAAAAGTACTTGAGCTATTAGTGGATTTTACAAATAAATTATGAAAAAAGGATATCGTGGATATTCTAGAGATATGCCAAAGATATTCCTGTCCCTCGATCAAAAACACTAAAAAAAATTAAATTAATTATTGTAACGGGAATATATGCCAGGAATGTCCCAGGGATATTGGAATAACCTAGGAATGTCCAAGGGATATTCTGACAATACGACGCGTTGCGACAATGCGACGTTTTGGGAACTCTGTGGGATATCCTGAGGATTTTCTGTGCTATGTGGGCTCCATCAAGGCATATAGACTAACGAAAACAAGTAGGATTCTCAATTTCTTATCCTTTTGTAAATTATGAAGTTCGTTTTACGTGTCTAGTTCATGATGGTGACACTAATTGCTAGTGTTGACGAAATCAGGTCTCTTTTATTTTAGGGTTTAATTCAATGATTTTTGTGCTTTACTGTTTGGTTATATAACAAGGGGTTTATTCATTACGACTCTTAACAGTTCACCGGCCGTAACACCGGACAGAACTGACAATAACATTGTTTTCCACTGATCCATGAAAAATATACTCACGGCCACCTGGGGCCCATTTTATAATAAACTACAAGTTACAACTTGTAGCTTGTAATTTCCATTGGATTTGCATTGGGCGATCAGCTGATTTACTAATAATATTAGTTTGTACTTTATTATGAAATGGGCCCCAGAGGGAGAATGTTTTATGGTTTTATCTATGCTATAAGTATGTTTTATCTATGAATATGTTTCATTATCCCAGTACTCAAGACCGGGGCTATCGGCCATCTGCCTCAATATTGTTTCAGTTTTTTATTCATCAGTTTTGGATTATTATTATTTATTGATTTCAAGTTTTGAGGTATGCTCAATGTATCACAGCATACTTTATAGTTTTTAGAATATTTACAGTGGCTTGCGTCAGAACCATAATCAACCGTTCAAAACAGCTGATTATGAAAAATATTTACCTCTTAATTTCTTTCTGCTAATCTGCACTCGACGTTCTGTACCCACGAGCACCTCCACTTCCACATGCACAGTAGTCCTTGGAACAGTTCCTGGGATAACAGCTATTTGTGTAATAGCTTCACTGTAACTCTGTATTGGTCCTGATTAGATAGTTGTTTCATTCAACAGTTGCAGCAGTTGCAAGCAAACTGCATTGCATTGTGGTTCTGGTTTTGTAAAGGAAAAGGTGTTTATTCTTTACTGTTTATTTACTTTTGACTTGAGCTGCTTGAAATGAAAATGTGTTTTATGATTATGAAAATTAAAGTGCTGTGAGTGTGCTGAAGCTGATTTGTTATTAGGTATTGACAATTAAATGTTTTACGTTCATGAATTATTTATTAAGTTTTAAGTGTTCACTTAACCTATATTTTTCGGATTCCTCAAGAAAGAGGGTTAGGTTGAGTTGTGTTTGTGTTTGTGTGTGAATTTGTTAGATTGCAGTTTTTGTAGTGGTAGGTCTAGGTTTATTTTAAGTAAGTTGGGCCTTTCAGTTGAGTTTAGGTCTAAGTTATTGCCTTTGAATAGTTAAATTAATAACTTATCTATTTATAAGAGTAGGCCTAAGTTAGGCTCTAAATTTCTAAAAAATTATCAATTCATTTTGATTAGTAAATTTATTATTAAATAGATTAGGAAATTATTCAATGAAATATTCAATTTTCATATCTGAGTCTTAAACAGCACATATTTTAAGTTTCTGCCTTAACTTATTTATCCTCGTGGCCAGGTAGGCTACCGGGTATTGTATTCACAATTTTAATAGGGCCTAAGTTTAACTAATTCAATTGATAAAAATAAAATAAAAAACTAATATAAGTTTGATAATCAGTTTAAGGGTGCATGCACTATAGCTAGCTTTTTCATTCAGGGAGAAAGCATTGTATGCCGTGAGCTGTGACTGCACTTGGGAGACCATCATCCGAGGGAAACCTTTGATGATGTACACGAGCTGCCTGGTGGCAAAGTGCGGTGCACGGCTTCAAAGTTTGAAACGATAGATAAGAATGTATGCCTATGTTACGCATAGGTGAGTTTTCAAATT